CGACTTGGCCGGTGAGGTCGGGAATGTCGCTGAAGGAAAAGGTCATTGTTGTTGGAAGGAGGTAAATTGAGAAGTGATTGCAAACGACATACTCGTGCACATGGATCCGGCCGCGGTGCACGTATAAGGTTGCTGACGGTACAGAGCTCTTAAGCAGCGGATTACTATGTAGTATATATTCTAGAGGTGGTCGTATACGTGGCAATTCCATATGGGAGTATAAAGGGTTGCAACATTGAAAGCATTTAAAGCGCGCATGTTGATTGGTTGGTTCAAAGCATGTCATGGTTGACGAAGACCGATGGGGTGTAAACGCAATTCATTAACCGCTCGCGAAGACGCTGCTCGTCATGCCCAGAGATCCAACGAATTCATCGACCAATAGAGATTGCGCAAGAGTATGTTGTGTCTGTTTCAAGCCGGCGGAGCCAGGAGCGCCGTGGGACAAGGTGCTGACTCGGGCACTCGTGGTGAGCGAGGAGCCGAAGAAGGTGATGGAGAGCCATCTGCCCGGGCTTTTGAACGAGGTTGTGGTGCAAGTGCATTTGAGCGACCGCCGCCTTGACGACAATCGTCCAGGGACTTGGCAGTGGTACTGTAGGTCGGCGCGAAAGACGCGATCGTTGCGGACGCGCCAATGTTCGGTGGATGTCACTGCAGCGAACTACATTCAAAACGAAATGTGAATACAGATCCAACGACACGAGATAGAGGCGGCGGGTCCATGTTGAACGACGACCGGTACATTTTGTTGCTTCAACGCACCTTGCGCAGCGCACTTTTGTCAATGTTTCATCCACACTTCAACATGCAGAATGTACTAGGTAGGCATTCCCCAGACATGATAAAACAATACTATTAACAATTACGATGAAGATGTCTAGTTGTCGGGGGTTTTGGACGCGATCAATTCTTTAGTATACGTCCAGAGCTTGGCCGCGAGGTCCATGTCTTGGCCGAGCGCGGTGGTCTCGTTGAGTTTCGCGATCGGCGTAAAGTATTTGGCCGAGACGTTCTTCGTCTCAATCTCGGGGCTCGCCGCGCAGTAGAGTTGCGTTTTCGCTCCGTCGTCGGCAGTGCGCTGGAAGAACCAAATGACCTTTTGCACGATCCACGAATACTCGCGGAAGAGCTCGGTCTGGACGACACCCGGGTGCAGCGCGTTGACGTACACGTGGTTGACACCCCGCGCCCGCAGCCGCTTGTGCAGCTCCCGCGCAAAGAGGATCGTCGCCAGCTTGGATTGACCGTACGCCGTGTGCTTGTTGTACACGGTCTCATCGTTGATGTGGTCAAAGTTGATGCCCACCTTTGGCGCCATCTGGTGAGCCGCCGAGCTCACGCAGACGATCTTGGCGACCGGCGCGGCTTCCAAAAGCGGAAGCAGCCCAAGCGTGAGCGCCATGACGCCGACGTGGTTGGTCGCAAACTGCGACTCGATGCCGTCGACCGAGAGACG